GTCCCAGAAGAACAGTCCTCTTAGAGTGTGTGTGCACCCGCACGTCTAACTCTCCATAGAAGTTCAGGCTTAGTTATACGTCTATATGGACCTTGACAACAGCCTTGTGTTGGATTGGTTCTTCTACTCTGACTTATATCGGGCAGGGGTAGAGGATTGTTGGGTGGAAATGTAGCCGTGCAGGTATTTTTCTGGCTTCTTTCCTTTGTCTACAGAGGACAAAAGCAGAGAGACTAAACTGGTAGTATGTGTAGTATGTATTGTGTGCTCTCTTCGTTACTTTCTCCTAATTTACAGATATCTTTTTCCATTTCTTCCCCTCTTTTTTTTTTTTTTTCCTCCTACTTTTGCTAACTGATCTGATGGGCCTCTTATTAATCTTGATTCCAGCAAGAGGAGCTTCTCCCTTTCTGAAAATCAATTGTGTGTGTGTGTGTGTACACATGTAGTTTGCCTTCGCTGCCCTGCAGTACTAGTCTTTAAACCTACACACTTCCTCACTGTCATTAACACACGTGCACCACCTTCACATAGAGGCAGTTATGAAATGGCTGGCTTAAACTAACAATGGGGCAGATGACGGAGTGCGTGTAAATGCGCAGCTGTTAAACGGAAATTTACTCTTGCTCTGCTTCCATAATGGGCTATAGGTATAGTTGGTGTACATTAGCAGGGTGTGGGGAGTGATAGCATGGCCTCTTATGTGAGCCCAGTGGCCCTTAATCATGGCTGTAAGAGGGTGTGAGGGGATCAGGGTGAGGGTTAATGCACAAGTGCAGCTGCACTGTTAGATTCTGTGTGATTTGTTAAAATTTAACCTGTGTGTGTGTGTTGTTGCTGGAGGGACTAAAGCTCAAATCTGCCATTCTTGAATATAAGCAATGTTTCAGATTTTTCTGATTGCGCTTGTGAGCTGGTTTCATTTGCTTTATTTTTTATGCTTGTTGTATTGCTTAATAGTTACAATTATTTAATGAAAGGATTTCTTTTTTTAAGAAATGAAGACTGCAAAAATCCCTAACAAAATGTGCCAAGTATTTTAGCTTGTTATTGCTGTAATTTCCTGAGTGTTTTCCTGAGGTTGTGGTGGTGTCACTGCAACTTTAGCAAAAACAACAAACTGATATCTCTCTGGTTTGAGAAGAGGAAACATGGCATTCATGACACACAACTTTTAGTTTTGATAAGGCAGATTTTCTTAACTTTGTGTTACATACCTTTAATCTGTTACAGTGTAACAATATTAAATTAGCTCCATAACCTGATGGAGAAAGGCAAGGATTTTTTTAAAATCAATCAAGATGAAGTGCAGGCTTTCAGCTTTAATTCAAATAGTTTACGTCAACCTTTGAGGAATTACACCCATTTTTACACAATGGCCCCAATTTTAGAGGCTCAAAAGAAACTCGACAAACTAATATAATTTTAAAAGTAAGATTCTTTCTAATACTTGGATGAAAATCCTTTCCAGACAATGACTGCCTGAAGTCTAGAACCCACAGACATCACCAAATTGTCTGTTTCCTCCCTTAAGATGCTGCAAGGCCCTTTAATGCATCCATCTGCAGTTGCTGCTCGTCTTTTTCCCTTCACTTTTGGATTTAATACTAGAAAAGCATGCCCTGTTGGGGTGAGATCAGGCGACTGACTTGGCCATTGAACAATATCCCATTTCCTTTACCTTGAAAAACTCTTGGGTTGCTTTTGCAGAATGCTTTGGGTCATTATTTATTTGCACTGCTCGATCTGGCTCAGGAGGTAGAGAAGGTCGTCTATTAATCGGGAGGTTGGTGGTTTAATGTCTGGTATCCTTAAGCAAGACTGAACAAGTTCATCCTGATGCCTTCATCAGAGTCTAAATATTGGATAGAAAACACTTAGGCATAGAAAAAAGTGCTTGCATGAAT